GTGGAACTGGGTTTTGGCACCATTCCTGTATTCAGAGTTTTCTCGGTGTAGACAGAGTTGGGGGAAGTAGGGCAGCCAGCGTTTCTCAGCTTATGCAGGGGTAAGAAGGGGTTCCAACCAAACATACCTCTTTGGGTGTTGTTTAGCCAAAAACAGAGGTCACTAAGGGTGTGTATGTGGTGTGTGTGTGTGTGTGTGTGTGTGTGTGTGTGTGTGCGTGCTCACAGGTACACACATCCATTCACATGGAGGATAGCATTCAGGGGCCATCTGCTTTCTTTCTTGAGTCAGGGTCTCTCAAGTAGGCTCAGTTAGCTTGCCGGTGAGCTCCAGCAATCTGCCCATCTCTGCCTCTTCAGCCCTAGGATTACAAGCATGAGTCACCACACTGGCTTCTTACACTGGTCCTAGAGATTGAACTCAGGTCCTTACGTTTGTTCATCAAGTATTTCGCTGACTGAGCTACTGCCCCAGCCCTGGGGATACCTTTTTTGGCACCAAAAATGTTCAAAGACCCCACACACACCCGCATCCTGCCGTTATCTTCACCATCACCACCATGAGCATCCTGTCTTCAACACTGTAGCCAACACTAAATTAAAACTTGCTCGAAGTCCAGGGATAATTACACTGCACTGCACAGTCTTTTAACTGCCGAGGCTCTAGAAGACTAAGACCACTCATTAGTTAGGGTCTTTTTATAATCAATCCATTTGTTGAATAGACGCTACGTATCCTGCAAAAGTTTGAAATTGTTTTAAACCATGTCATCACGATAGTACCCATTATATTTTTCACGCAGTACTTTGCATGTATGCAAGAAATATAATTTTTCTCACCTAAGGATTGCTAAGTGAATACATGAGTCCTGGACTCTCCTACAATAATTCCCTTCCATGTGGATCTGAGACCTAAGCTGAGGTCAGAACTCCCCGTGAAACATAAACAGCTAACATATATAAGGTCCCTGTTTCCAAAGTGCCACTAATATGTCCATTAAGGAGGATAACAACCGAGCAGAACAAGTACCATTGTGGTTTCACAGATGAAGACACTTGAACAGATCACACGATTCATTCAAGTTCATACAGTCAACATCCTAGTCAAGACTCAACTGTGGGTCCATCCAGAACAAACGCTAGGCTCCGGGGCACACCTGGGAATTGCCTGTACTCCAGCCACCACATGCTGCTACAGTTGAGCAGACCATGCACTACACAGCGTTAATACCTGACATCTCCACCTTCCTCATCACAGATGTCATAGTGTGGCAATTTCTCAAGACATTGTAGTAAACTACTTGGAGCACATAATGCATTTTCTGACTCCAGGCCCAGTAGCCAGAGCTCATCGATGGCCTTTGGATTCTTGGTTGTGAGAAACCCAACACCTAGGAAACCCATTTTATGTAGTGGTTTTAGTTGGTAGAAAAGTTCAAGCCAGAAAACCCAGCCCTTTCTAATTCTCACTTGGGTTCCTGCACCTTCCCCCATCACATCGTGGAGAATAAGAGCTAGCCCACTAAACCTGTGATTCTCAAACTCTAGTGTCCTTAAGAACCCACCTGACTGAAATTATGATTGCTTGTGTCTGGAGTGAGAAATGAGAAGCTGCATCTTGTGTAGGCACTACAAGGGAGCTCTAGACAAACCACTGTTGGGCAATCATGCCTCCTCCGCCCCTCACACCGACCAGTTTCTGTTCCCAGTTGAGATCTCTTAAATCTAGCTCTCTCCACAAGACACAATTGAAAATAAAGAATTCAAATGTGTACCCCTGGACCTTAAAATTAGAAAAGGAGCATTCATTTGAGAAGGTAAATTCACACCCACCCTTTTTATGACAGTTGTTTGGTGCCAAGTTTCCTAGGATTTACCTGTCATACCAAGTGTGGCGGAAAGAAGAAATCGTACTTAAACTGAGTACTTGCAGGGCTGGTGAGAAGGCTCAGTAATAACGACACTGTCAGCCAGGATCCACACTGTGGAAGGAGAAAACCAACTCCCACAGGATGTCCTCTGACCTCCACACATGCTCAGTGGTGCATGCCTTCTCACACACACACACACACACACACACACCCTAAATAAACATAATTTTTAAGCCTATTTCACCTGTGGAACAATATCTAAGGTTGATCTCTGGCCTCGACTGATAGGTTTCTGTCAATTTGGCAGACCAGATCAGACCAGATTAAAAGCAGATAGATGCAGTTTATTTGCTCCTTGGCTAGTTCATGG